GACCATCGCTACAGTGAAACAGTTCCTTCACAAGAACAACTTCAAACATTAACTCGTCTATCAATGCTAATGTTCATTAGTTCTTGTTATTAACTATGCGCAAATCAAACGCCATTCAGTTTGTACGAACTGTTTCATCGTAGCATTTATTATCACTGAAATTACGAATTGGCGACGGGTTCCGACGATGTGAATATTGAAATTGTGAATAAATTATAAAGATTTTTATGTGTTGTGTGCGAAACGATGTAATAATAGTGTTCAATGCCGTAATAAACCAATAGCAGTTCAATTATTCAATGCGAACAATGAGTTTATGTGATGTTAATTTTTCAAACAAATTTTTATAACCCATAAAATTTTTGAAGCGATATTGTGATGATTCAACTTCCTATGATCATAATTTAAATTGAAAATAAAATGTGTCAAAGAGTTGCTTAATGGAGTTTTTTTTTGTTGCTATCATCGAATGTTTTAATTAAACATTACGTGAAAGACAAATTATTACAGTGAAGACGAATTGAAGATGTTAGTAGAAAAAATGGATCGATAAGCTGAAAATTCGTGACGAGGTACCACATAAAAAGAAAGCATTGCAACATTCAAATCGAAAAAAAAAAGAAAAGAATTCATACGATGAGAAAAGAAAGAATTCAACACAATTCAGCAATGAAAATGATTTCTTGTAAATTTATCACGCGAGGCAATGCTGCAATCATTTTGAATATGTGTTGATGTTGTGTTAGAGCAAATGACCACTCGAATTTTTTGTTGATTACTCAATAAGTGCTTCTAGAAGCGGCTCGTTGATGTTTCACGAGTTGACGAACAATAGTAATTTGACTGAGTTGACGACAGGGCGGAATGAATACCGATTTGAGGACTCTGATATGGTGATGCAGTTTTCCACACAGAAAGCCGAAGTTTCCAAGTCGTTCGAATAATGCATCTTTGATTCGTAGTTGCCTTCACATTTTGCGTATCCAGCGATAGCTAGATCTGCTTTTCCTTGCAAACAACTCATTAAAGAANGCGACAGCATGATCTGCTTCTCCTTGCAAACAACTCGTGAAAGAAGACAGCTTGTGCACCGTGGCGATTGTTGCATCGTCGACTGAATATTTTAGAGCCGCCTAAAGGTTGATTACGTTAAAGGATCACCGTGGAATACGGGTAGTTGAAGTTTAGATAATTGAATCCATTATGAATTTGTTGTGGCTAGTGCAGGATGTGATTGGGTTGTTTCTGTGGTCGTGCGGTAGTGGGGATAGTGGTTGGACTGTTATCATGAAACGGAGGCGAGTTGCGTATGTATTACTGATGGTGGGGAGGTGTGATTTCATAATGATGTATGTACCTCAAAAATTGGATTCCAAATAGCCTTGTCAGGCAAATATGTGGACTGTTTTCGTTAGCGATTAGTGGTGCCTCTGCTCCACGTCGACTCTTTTGTTGCTGTGTTCCTGTACTGTTTCCCTGGAACAATAATTTCAGGAACTGAATATTTGATTCCATTTCCTCATGTTATATGTCTACTGCTCGGGTATTTTTTGAGACAGATTTTCATGTTCAGAAATCCCTCGATGAGTCGATAGAGTTTCATTCTACTCCAATGGCTTACTGACAGCGAATTTCTCGAAAACTGTCATAACCATCCAAAAATTGCGGCTCAATCGGATTGATTNAACTGAATATTTGATTCCATTTCCTTATGTTATATGTCTACTGCTCGGGTATTTTTTGAGACAGATTCCAATGTTCAGAAATCCCGTGATGAGCGGATAAAGTTTCATTCTACTCCAATAGCTTACTGGTAGCGAATTTTTCGAAAACTGTCATAACCATCCAAAAATTGCGGCTCAATCGGATTGATTCACATCACTGGACACGCTGTTACTTTCGTTAGCCAAATGAAAGTCATTTAGTGTGGCACATAGAACGTTGCCTGACTACCGTAATAGCAACACTCAAATAATGAATTTTTCAACAGAAACTGAAATCCCACACAATAAAGTATTCTTTTATTTTGGTAATTTCGGTACATTTACAGTGGAAACCCGTGTTTGTAGAGGAAATGAGGTGTAAAGCGTCAGCATAGTTGGAGGACGTAGTGAATTATGTAATTGTGCTGTTTAGAATGCTAAAATCCCAATCAGTTGGCGTTCGTACCGTTCGGAATGCGTGAATATGTACGTGATCATACAGTGGCCCTTTTACCTGTTATATGCTCTGCTGTTTAGTGCGTTGTGGTTAAGTGTGATCTCTTCTTAACATTCGGGATTTGGAAAATTCGATCATAGAATACGTTCGGTAACTGAATTTGTCTCTGGAACAAGCGTATACGCTGAACAGTATTCCCATCCCGAATACTCATCTCTTGAGAACATGATCGTTTTCTGTTTTCTTGAATCGTTTATATTTGGTGCTTGAGAGTTTGAAATTTTCGCCATTTGGAATTGTGCAGTATTTTGGAATTTTGTGAAATATTTATAGCGAAGGAAACAAATTCGCAAGATTGATTTATTCAAATTTTATAAGCGTTTTCGTTTCAGTTTTGTTTATCGTCCGCAGTTGTATTTGTATGCGCTACGATATTTATAGTCGATTATTCCGTTGAAGTTGCTTTGATTCATTTGATTTATATTGAAGGGGAAACCAGTAATTACGCTCAGGTGTGTTAAATTGCAATCATGGCTGCGGCGCAACAAATTACGAAGAAACGAAAGGCCGTTCAAGATGGTGTTTTCAAAGCTGAATTGAATAATTTTCTCATGAAAGAGTTGGCCGAAGATGGCTACTCTGGTGTGGAGGTTCGTCGAACTCCTGCTCGTGCCGAGGTATGCTCATATTTTATTGTTCTAAACATTCAGTGATTTTTCCATGCCTTCGCAGTTCTATTAAACATTGTCGTCATCTTATTATCTCACTATTCGTGAACGAATTCAGTATGAATAGTATTAGCCAATTCTCTGTCATTTGACAGCATTCTAAAGCTGATTTGTTTGGCTGTTTTTAAGCAGCCAAACAAAGCAATTTTAGAATAAAAAGGTTGTTCACTTGAAGGAATAAACAATTAAAAACTCCATTGGAACGGAATTTGCAAATCCTACTCGGTTTGTTTTTTATTGTGATGGTGATGGATGATTTAAGGTGATCATAATGGCGACGCGTACTCAAAGTGTATTGGGTGAACGTGGTCGTCGTATTAGAGAATTGACGTCCGTTGTACAGAAACGTTTCGGATTCGCTGAGGGATCTGTTGAGGTTCGTTTCTGTCTCGACTTTATTAACTATAAGAGATCAAATGGGTTGGTCAAAAACCTTTGTGAGTATAATTCTTCTTCATATGAATGAATCGAAGTTTTTTTGTCAAATTCACTTGCGGCAATGTCATGGCATTGACCACTGGCGATCGTTTGCAAATTTTCAATCAGAAACATGATTCATTTATTAAACTGTTTCTAAAAGTCTCGTCATCACATCGGCGTAATTATTAGGGAAGTGAATTTTTTTGAATGTTTTGTTCTATATGAAATCAATGTTGAACGGATACGTGACTATATTAATCCCATTTAGCTTTACGCTGAAAAGGTGTCGAACCGTGGTTTGTGTGCAGTTGCTCAGTGCGAATCACTACGATACAAATTGGTTGGTGGTCTTGCAGTCAGAAGAGCATGTTATGGTGTACTTCGTTTCATCATGGAATCGAATGCTCAAGGTTGCGAGGTTAGTACTCTAAGATATTATAAGTTTTTTATATTCTTTTTACGCTGTGCTTCACCTATAATCCCCAGAGAGCAACTGATGCCTAAGGTGTTTTTTATTCAACATCTAGTCATTGCCTTTGATGATTGATTTCTTTCTTATGCGAAAGTTATTGAATTACCATGCAAATGTTACAGCAGTGGTTCTCAAATTATTCATGTATTTGAGCGAGCAGGTACGGGAAAAAACATTGAAGCAACTATTCAAACATCATCCTTGCAGTGGATGAAATGATTCCCCTCGTAGACTTACACATTTTTAGGGAATAGACGTGATATTTTGAAGTTCACTCGAACACCTCATAAAGGATGAGGTGCTCCAAAAAAATTGTTTGAATGATCAAATTGAGCGATGATGATTGCACGTTTGCTGACACCTCTTATGTTAGCACTCATTCATAATGGGTGCGGTGATTATAAACTGTTCTCTGAGCTCAATTGATTGATCTTTTCAAAGTTCACGTCGTGCGCTGAACGGTTTACATTTGTTATGGTATATTGAGAAATGGAATGTTTTCAATCTTAAGTCATTTCAATATTCTTAGGTAATCGTGTCAGGAAAATTGCGTGGACAGCGAGCAAAATCGATGAAATTCGTTGATGGTTTGATGATCCATTCTGGTCAACCAGTAAATGACTATATTCAACAGGCCGTACGACACGTTCAACTTAGACAAGGTTGCTTTAGTTGATTTTAATGTTAAATAACTGTACGTTGGAATGCTATTGTATTTATGGAATCAATAAGGAAATAATAAATGGAACTTTTAGTTCTAATGTAATGATGGAATGAAATGAATATGCAGGTGTATTGGGAATAAAAGTGAAAATAATGTTGCCGCATGATCCGAAAGGACAGATGGGACCACGTTTGGCACTGCCAGATCAGATTCATATTCAAGAGCCGATCGAAGCACCGAAACCAGCAATGCCATACTCGGAGCACAGGCAAGACAAGAAAGAAATGATGCCTCCTGTGCCCGGACAAGGACCACCAATGACTGGATATTAATGTGTTTGTATGGCGCTGTACCGTTGTTTGTTAATGCGTCTTTTAATGTGTTAATGGCTGATAAAAGAGTGTTAAATCTATCTGTGTTGATTTGTTTGTGTTGTTTTTGTTGACATTTTGAATAAATTCGATCGGTTGACTGCTTTTCTTTTTTGAATCTATTTCAATATGACAGCTAACTGAGTTGAGTTTTATTACTTAATCAGGGCCAGATTTCATCAGTTTAAATGTTTGGTGGACTAGATTTGAAGGTTTAAGGCTATGATAATAAACAAGTCGAATTTTAAAAATGTTGGGGCTTAGGCAAAAGAGTCATTTTGAGCGTAGTCAATTGCAAATTAGGAATTTATGGGGCAATAATTTTCGTTTTATATTCTTCTTGTTAATAAGAGCAAATTATCGTGGACATTTTGCTTATGATTCTGCTCAAAGCCGACAGAAAGTCTTCATTACAGTCTTAAAAGCGTTGTTGTGATGTACAACAGCTGTGCATATGAGTAAACAAGCTTCATAATAATTTTCGACTGAAGAATGTCAATTTATCATGTACATCAGCGCAGTTGCTTGTTTTCATGAAATGTCTGCATATGAACCTAATTGGAATTTGATTTTGCAAATTAATTAGGCTCATCGGAATCAAGATAAAACACTGATTTGCCGTTCATCTTATCGCTATTTGTCGAAGATGCAAACTTCTACGGACACACTGTATTAATACTTCAGTGGCTTTATTGACTAGAGTACTTTAATATCGCTGGCAACTAAATAATGCCCTCGCGTAAGTCGACTTTCAGGCGTGTAGCACCGTCATCAGCAGGAATGATTTTGCGATTGAAACGTTGTAAACGAAGAATATTAATGTTCTGGTTTGGTGAAACTCCGCAATATTTATCAGCTTGTTATATCTTTGTTTATGGAAAGTGATCTCAAAACCTGGTCATGCCACTACTAGAAGATCTTGTTCCTTTCTTTGGATAATCTCTTTCGTGATGGTTAGCCTTCTGCATTCAATCCAGTAGACTGTCAGTGGCCAGTTTTGGGTGTTAAGATGCAAATTATGAGAAAAAATGTAAATTTTGTGAAATGTTCCTGAAATTCCATTCGTTCGTACGTCTTTTCTGCATACCCACTTTTCAATTCCCCATTAATTCACCACATCACTTTTCGAACAATCCGAAATTCAGTCGTGTGAGTGTTTCGCTCAACAGAAGTTTATTTGATAAGAAATACCGGATTGTGAGGATTATTATTGTCACCGTAATCTGTAAACATATTGTGACAGTAACAATCGCCACAATCAGAAATTTCTAATCAAATAAAGGCCCCTAGGCAGAATGTTTGGACAGAAATGGAAAATGTCTGCTCAACATAGAATAAAATGGAAATCAGTTAAACTGCGCCCACATTGAGAGCGAAGACCGGTCGCAAGGTAATCGTAAACTAAGGTAATTCTGTAAGAATTACGACGTTAAGAAAATTTACATAGTTGAGGGTAAAAAATGAAATGAAGTGTACATGTAGAAGGAGCGATTCCTCGTATCATTTATGCAGATTATGTGAGAGATAAATAGACAATTGCTATTTCTCATCATTTAAAACTCACTATGCAAAACTTGATTCGGTCTATTTCGTGCTCTGCTGATATCAGATAAAAAAATTGTTTTTTGTTTTCAATTGAAATTAGTAGTTTCAATCTGGGAAGTGTGTTATGTTCCAAGCTATTTTTGTTTAGTTATTTTCACCGATTGATTCATTCATTAAGTTACTTTTTGTCGATTCATTTATTTTCACTTCAATTGCATTAATTTTCAATTGATACTTTATTTTTCATCATTCATCATATCAGATCAGTGAAAAGTTTTGAGACTCACGCCCTTCCCTCTGGCTCAGTCCAATTTTCATTAATTTTCTGGCTTGTTTCTAGTGCTAGATACGGAACCTTTTACGGGAAAAACGGAAATGAAAAGTTACAGAAAAGTCTATTCTGGCCTTCATCATGCTCTTTAACGGCCTACTGCATCTCATTTTTTAGCTGAATCGCAAATAGTTTTGTAAATTAATTCATGAGTTGCTGCAGTATCAGTATTCAAGGCCTATCAAATATGGTAGGTGTTTGATTCCACCGAATTCTCGATGAACGTCCTTAGCAATTTTCTCGATCGGGCATGTACAGAGGGGTGTTTTTCATTCATCGGGATTCAATTTTCTGTTGTTCCTTTTTGATACAATCAAGTAAACTAGCCATCAATTAAACTCCTATTAAAGGTCATCAGTTCGTCACTTATTGCTAAACATTGCTTCAGATTCCAAAAAAAGTATTTATAATGACATGGTTCGGTTTCGTTTACGTTTTTATGCGGTTTCTTTCAAAATCTCAACTCTTGTTAGGAGGATTAATCACAATTCTAGAT